AGCATTTATTTCTCACAATTCCAGAGACAGACAAGTCCAAGATCAAGACACTGGCTGATTCAGTGTCTGGTATGGGTCCTCTTCTAGGTTTGTAAGGGATGCTTTCTTACTGTATCCTCATATGGCAGAAGACTTTCATCTTAGAGAACACACAAATAATCATGAATAGAATGTTGAAAGAAATATGAACTGCAAAGGCCATTCTGATCAGGTCTCAGATAGAAATAAAGAGTATATTATTGGACAATGAAGAAACAGCAATCCTTATTATAAAATGGCAAAGAATTTGGCAAAATTGTGTTTATGCTGTAGTGTTTTGTGAAAGGTAGAATTTGCAAGTAATGAAATTAAATATTTAGCTAAAGAAATTTATTTTGTTTTATTTTATTTTATTTTATTTTTGAGATGGAGTTTCGCTCATGTTACCCAGGCTGGAGTGCAATGGCGCAATCCCGGCTCACCGCAACCTCCGCCTCCTGGGTTCAGGCAATTCTCCTGCCTCAGCCTCCTGAGTACCTGGGATTACAGGCACGTTCCACCATGCCCAGCTAATTTTTTTAGCTTTAGTAGAGACGGGGTTTCACCATGTTGACCAGGATGGTCTTGATCTGTTGACCTCGTGATCCACCCGCCTCGGCCTCCCAAAGTGCTGGGATTACAGGCGTGAGCCACCGCGCCCGGCTAAGAAATTTATTTTTATATTATCTTTAAATTGACAGATAAAATTGCATATATGTATCATGTACATTGCTGAAGAGACTTCTAAGCAAAGGGTTGAAGGAGTGGCTTTATTCCTCCTGGCTGCTTATAGTAACATGTAAGAAAAAAGAAATGAAGATGAAATTTTTATGCAAAAAAGACTAGAAATTACAGATGGGAAACATCCTTGGCCTATTCATATTACACACAAAAACACTTAGATAGCATGTTTTCCAGTGTGATGGCTCTGGTGCTAAACATAAAATCACATAAAAAAGACAAAAAACAATAGCATGTTTGGAAGAGGAAACTGTGGTGTGACAGGCTGACTATCTGATAAGATTAGCGTGGGTGTGAATCATGGACCTAATCAGCCATCGCACCAGAAGCTGAGAATAGAACTTACGCACCGGAAATACTGCCAGCTAGAACTAAAGTAAACAGAGAAAATGGGATAAAATGAAGGAAGGCTGTCGGACTTCTTAGGTTTTACAGGACAGAACCATAGAGATACTCAGCTACAAACATGCTATTCAAGACAGAGGAAGAATGACCCTGTAGGTGATTAGTACATCAGGGCTGTCCCCTTGGTTTCAAGAAAGCCTCTGCCCAGAACCTCAGAGGAGGGGATGCCTGGTGCCGTGGTAGCACAACAGTTTCCCTTTGCAGGACCCTGGGGCACACCCCTTGCCTAGGAGAGCTTTGGGGACAGGACAGCCCCCAGTGGGCCTAGAACAGCCACCCAGGGGCACTAGAATATATTCTTTTGTTAATGTTTCTCACGCACTTAGAATGAATGTCTACTCTGAAAATTTTTCTGCAATATTTTATGGAGATAAAATATATAGTTGCTTAATAGGGGAATTCAGTTCTTCTATATATGACTAAAATATGTATATTCTTGTTCTCTCATTTACTGAGAGAGGTGCATTATATTTTCCAGCTATGTTTGTAGATAATTTCTTCTTTTATTTCTTTCAACTTCTGCTTTACATATTTTGAAGCTATAGATGTCTATTTATTTAGGATTGTTATATTTTGTCATTGAATTTATCCCTTCTTCTTCTTTTTTTTTTTTTTTTTTTTTTTTAGATGGGGTCTTGCTCTGTAACCCAAGCCGGAGTGCAGTGTCACAATCACACCTCACTGCAGCCTTGACATCCTAGGCTCAAGCACATGCCACCATGCCTGGCTAATTTTTGTTTTTTAGTCGAGATGGGGTTCCACCATATTGGTCATGCAGGTCTTGAACTACTGACAGGTGATCCACCTGTATCAGCCTCCCAAAGTGCTGAGATTACAGGCGTGAGCCACCGTTCTAGGCCAGCACTTCATTATTATGTGTCCTTTATTGTCAGTATACTTCTGTGAAAAGAAAATAAGTCTTCGGGCCCCCAAATCACTAAGCTAAAGGGAAAAAACTGGAAACTGCTCAGCGCCAATCCATTCTATTCAAAGTTACCTCTCTGCTCACTGAGATAAATGCATACCTGATTGCCTCCTTTGGAGAGGCTAATCAGAAACTCAAAAGAATGCAACCATTTGTCTCTCACCTACCTATGACCTGGAACCCTCCTCCCCTCTTTGAGTCTTCCTGCCTTTGCTTACAGTTGTCCCACCTTTCCAGACCAAACCAATGTTCATCTTACATATATTGATTGATGTCTCATGTCTCCCTAGAATGTATAAAACCAAACTGTGCTCTGGCCACCTTAGACACATGTCATCAGGACCTCCTGAAGTGGTGTCATGGGTGATGCCCTTAACCTTGGCAAAATAAACTTCCTAAATTAACTGAGACCTGTCTCTGTTTTTGGGGCTCACACTTGCTTTCCTAAAGTCTTTTTTTTTTTTTTTGAGACAGGGACTTACTTTGTCACCCAGGCTGAAGTCCAGTGGCATGATCACAGCTCACTGCAGCCTCAAATTCCCAGGCTCTGGTGATCCTCCCACTTCAGCCTCCAAAGTTGCTGAGACTACAGGTGCACACCACCGTGCACAGCTAATTTTTTTTTTTTGGTACATACAGTGTTTCCCTTGTTCTACAGGCTGGTCTTGAACTCCTGGGCTCAAGCAATCCACCTGCCTCAGCCTGCAAAGTGTTAAGACTAAAAGTGTGAGCCACAGTGACTGGTCACTAAATCTTAACACTCTAAAATAATCTCCTTTGACTTCACGTCCTGCATCCACAGTATATTGGTGCAAGCGGTAGGCTCTCAAGGCCTTGAGCAGCTCTGCCTCTGTGGCTTTGCAGGGTTCAGCTCCCACAGCCATTCTCACAGACCAGCTGTTGAGTGCTTGTGGCTTTTGAGGTTTTTAAGAACAGCTACATTAGTGAGGGAATCCCTGCCAAAAATTGAGTCCTTGGCCAGGCACAGTGACTCACACCTGTAATCCCAGAACTTTGGGAGGCTAGGGCAAATGGATCACTTGAGATGAGGAGTTTGAGACCAGCCTGGTGGACACGGTGAATCCCTATCTCTACTAAAAATAAAAAAATTAGCCTGGTGTGGTAGCAGGCACCTGTAATCCCAGCTACTTGGGAAGCTGAGGCAACAGAATCATTTGAACCTGGGAGGCAGAGGTTGCCATGAGCCAAGATCACACTACTGCACTACAGCCTAGGCAACAGAGCAAGACTCCATCTCAAAACAAAATTGAATGGAATTCTCTTATTCTTATTCACACCATCTGAATAATATGAGCTGAGCCATGAATCTTAGGTAACCCACAGCATAGAATGTGACAAAAGAAATGTCACATAAGGCAAAGGAAATGAAGAGAATTCAGATGGGAATGGCTGGAGCAAGCAGTTTCAGGGCAATAGTGGCAGCATGGATTGGACGAGCAAAGCCAGTGTGCCTGAATCCAAGAAAAGAAAGAAGTGTTTTTAGTGTGCAAATGAAACAGAAGCACAAGGAGAAAAGCCCACTGATTTCTATCCCAGCGCTTGTTTGTTGATCACGCCTGATGGGCACAGCAGTAACAAAACATAACTATTTCTATCTAATCCTATTGCTCATAGCTTTTAAATACCAAATGGTAATTAGCAATTTTAAATGTGAAGTCTTTAATGCTTTTTTGTTCCAAGACCAGTTAAATAAAGTTTCCTGGAAATGACAGTGAAACACAGACAGCAACCAAGAAATTGATTTTTCAGGGTGAGTCTACAGTGCAAAGTGAAAGAAAGTTTATTAAGAAAGTAAAATGGTGAAAAAACAGCTACTCCATAGACAGAATAGGACATTCTCAAAAGTAAGAGGAGGAATGTGTTCACTCTCGGTACAATATTTGTTTATATATAGAATAAAAAAAGATTATGAGGTTTGTGATAGAGGATTCATTTTCTAAATTACTACATTTTGCAAGAATAGATATTATCTTTAAAGCAAAATTAGGAGTGCTTCTGTTATCAAGATATGGGGATATCAGCACACTACTAAGTCTTAACTGTTTAGTAAATGTTATTAATCTATTCCCTTAACAATAAACGTCTAGAGATTAGAAATACCTAACTTTCTGGGAATGCAGTCAAACGAGTCCCAGCTTCATCTCCCCAGCCCTCACTCAAGATGAAGTTATTCTGGTTCAAATGCTTCTGATAATGAGACATCAACCAATATGTGTAAGATGTACATTGGTTCAATCCAGAAAGGTAGGACAACTGGAGGTGAAAGCAGGAGAAGTCAAAGTGGAGAGGGGGTTTCCAGGCCATACATAGATAAGAGACAAATGGTTACATGATTTTGAGTTTATGATTAATCTCTCCAAATGAGGCAATCAGATATGCATTTATCTCAGTGAGCAGAGGGGTGACCTTGAATAGAATGAGAGGCAGTTTTGCCCTAAGCAGTTCCCAGCTTGACTTTTCCCTTTAGCTTAGTGATTTGGGAACACCAAGATTTATTTTCCTTTCATATTTTCCACATTTTCTTTTTTAAAATCTTTTGGAGAAAGCATTTTAGGAAAAAATGAGTCTCTGGTCTCAGGTCTCTGATCTCTCATGGCTAGGATGGTTTATTCTAGACAGGTAGTTGCAAAGTTATTAGAAAAGTTCATTTTTGGCAGATTGCAGTCTCATGTTCTATAAAGAGAAAATAGGGAGAGTAAGGTAGAACAATAACAAACAAAAGAACCTTCCTGGAAAATCAATACAGGCCACATTACTCTGAAGTTCACATATCAGTAAGCAGGTATGAAAGTGGCTTATGTATGAAAACAGGTTGCTGTTATTTTCTTCTGACATTTCAGTTGCCTAGCTGCAGTTTGCAGGGCTTTGCCAAAGCCCAGTTTAGTTTTTGTGACTCCAAATTAGGAAAAATGTGGGAAAAGGAGGGGAAAAAATTGAACACATTATTTTGCAGGCTTGTAGCCAAGAAAAATTAGAATGCAGCTCAAATTGTAGAAAATAATAAAAACTGAAAAACATTAGGCAAGAGTAGAATCCAACAACAGGTGTACTGTAGTTTTTAAAACATAATTTTTCTCTCTCCAGTTTCCCATTTTTACTAAAGACAAATCATGGTAGGATTGATTTGCTTTATTATACTTGGCCTGATTATTTGTATACAACACAATAAGGATAATTATTCTTCTACATAGGCTTTCAAGATAGTTTTGATGGAACTTTGTTCCATAGAAGGAATCTCAGATAAGACTTTTTTAAAGCCAAGCCCAGCCATGGATTTGTACCATCAAATACCTATGAGCTGGGGAAATTCCTCACCTCTTCAGGTTCCAAGATAAACTTGGGGCTCCTAGGCTGTCAGAAAGTGACATTCTTTACTTACCACATGTTAGGAGCCCTGTACAGGGACTGTTTAGAAAAGGTATAATGCCAGTTTTGCCAAGGGGCTTTCATTGGCTCTATAGATCAAATTTGATTCCTTAAAGGAAAGGACATCATTCCAGTCAAAGCCTTGGTAAACTAACAAGTTTCTCCAATTGAGTCCTGTTATAAATGAAAACAGATGCTTATTACACTTATGCAAATAACTGTATTGTCGTTAGTTAATAATACCCACAAATAGTTTCCAAATTCTGTATAAATCAGATAGAGAGAAACAAATAGCTCTAAAGTTTGTACATAGCAACATATTAATTTTTTTATTTTGAGACAGAGTTTCACTCTTGTCATCCAGCAGACTGGAGTGCAGTGGCGTGATCTCGGCTCACTGCAAATTCCACCTCCCAGGTTCAAGTGATTCTCCTGCCTTAGCCTCCCAAGTAGCTAGGATTACAGGCATCTGTCACCACATCCAGCTAATTTTTATATTTTTTCATAGAGACAGGGTTTCATCATGTTGGCCAGTCTTGTCTTGAACTACTGACCTCAGATGATCCACCCACCTTGGCCTCCCAAAATGCTGAGATTATAGGCATGAGCCACTGTGCATGGCCAAGCATTAGACCCAATTGTTAAAAGTTACCTGTAGCTCAAAAGAAAAGTTTCCTTGACTCTGAACAAACAAAACAGACTGGGTACGGTGTCTCATGCCTGTAATCCCAGCACTTTTGGGAGGCCTGATAAACATGGCAAAACTCCATCACTACTAAAAAATAAAAAAAAAATTGCTGGGTGTGGTGATGCATGCCTGTAATCCCAGCTACTTGGGAGGCTGAGGCACAAGAATCACTTGAACCTGGGAGACAGAAGTCGCAGTGAGCCGAGATCATGCCACCACTGCAGCCTGGGCAACAGAGCAACACTGTCTCAAAAAAAGACAAAGGAATCAGCAATGTTTTGAGCAAAAAGTCAAAAATATTACTTCAGTCTTCTATTAGCTCAGTCCATGTAGTTAACTCCTGTTCTTCTGGCTATTCAGGAACACTTCAGTTCTCCATGAGTACTAAAAGTTTTTCTCTTATTCTGATATTACAACCTCCAAAGTTATCAAAGACTTGTATTCAAGAGTACCTGTCAGAGTTTAACAGCTGATCAAAAAACCACCTTCTGAAGAGGGCCAAAACAAGATAACAATTGTCTGTGGATGACAAAAGTGTTATAGATACAATTGACAAGGAAATGTGTTACCTCTGTGGCACACAATAATTTAACAGAATTATAATTATTACTGATAATGTACACCAAGTCATATCAGAATTATAGGAGTTTCCCCTAATTTTGGAACACATCCAAATAACATATTTATACAAATATAGCCCAAAGAAAACCAAACATTATTTTATATTTGACAATGTTTCCTGTATGATTTTTATACCAAATAAGCCAAATTATGTCATTTTTGGACTTTAGGGAAACTCATGTCTTAAATAATTAATTAGGTCTGAAAAAGACAAAATTTATAATTTGCTTTTGGAAAGTCTGCCAAATATAAAATATTTTAAATATGTGATCCACAGGTCATTGTAAAATAAGTCATTTACTTGACCAAGGTGATAACTCAAGAATTTAAAAAAAAAAAAAAAAAGGGGGGGGGGCAAAAACCTTCATTTTTTGAAAAGAGGAGACTTAACCTTCCAAACAATAGGTCCTAATAAAAACAGCGGTCAGCTGCAGCGGCTCACACCTCTACTCCTAGCACTTTGGGAGACCAAGACAGGCAGATCATGAGGTCAGCAGCTCCAGACCAGCCTAGCCAGCATGGTGAAACCATGTCTCTGCTAAAAATACAAAAATTACCCAGGTATGCTGGTGGGCGCCTGTAATCCCAGCCACTCAGGAGGCTGAGGCAGGAGAATCGCTTGAATCTGGGAGGCAGAGGTTGCAGTGAGCCGAGACCGCACCATTGCACTCCAGCCTAGGTGACAGAGTGAGACGCCATCTTAAAAACAAAAACAAAAAACAAAAACGAGCATGAAGCCAATTAAATTTGTCTTTCAAAATTTTACAAACAATTTATAAAATTTTAATCTTAATCATAAGATATAACTTCCATAAGCCTTTTATAACTTTATTAAGCAGTCAGTTAATGCTTCAAGAAAACTTTGTTAATCTGACATAGGGGCCCACATGCTGGTCTTTCATCAGTGTGCCTTTGACATTGATGGTTAATTTATTAGAGAAACTGAACTTATTTTATCTCTCAAAATCAGCCCATACAATCACATCCCTATCTCTACTGCAATAGTCCCTGGGCCTTGAGGAGTTAAATAGCTTTAATTTCTGATCCTCTGCCTCAGGAATGCAGGTTATTTTGATTGGCATCTTCTATGAAGCCGGAAGATGAGGCCTTACTGTCAGTGTTTAAGGGTTAGCAGGACTTGGTGTTCTTTTTAGACTCAAGAATCAAAGCCTTGTAACTCAATGTTACAAGTACTTGTAAAGCACATACAGAAAAATACATGGATGTAATAACCTTTTTTTGTTTGTTTTTGAGACAGAGTCTCACTCTGTCACCCAGACTGGAGTACACAGTGGCATAATCTCAGCTCACTGCAACCTCCAGTTCCTGGGTTCAAGTGATTCTCCTGCCTCAGCCTCCTGAGTAGCAAGGATTACAGGTGGCCACCACCAGGTCAAGCTAATTTTTGTATTTTTTTAGTAGAGATGGGCTTTTATCATATTGGCCAGGCTGGCCTCAAACTCCTGACTTCAGGGGATTCTCCCCTCTTGGCCTCTCAAAGTGCTGGGATTACAGGTGTGAGCCACCATGCACAGCTTAATAACCTTAATTTACCAAAAAAAAATTCATATGGAGTCTCACTCTGTCACTTAAGCTGGAGTGCCATGGCAAGATTTGAGCTCACTGCATCCTCCACCTTCTGTGTTCAAGCAATTCTTCTTCCTCAGCCTCTAGAGTAACTGGGATTACAGACACCCACCACCATACCCAGACATATTTTCAATAGAAACAAGGTTTCACCATGTTGGCCAGGCTGGTCTCAGATGCCTGACCTCAAGTGATCCACCCTCTTAGGCCTTTCAAAGTTCTGGGATTACAGATGTGAGCCACAGCACACAGCCAAAAAAAAAAAAAAATTATTTTTATTTTTTCACTAAGTTAACCAAAACAATAATAATGACATAGGAAATGTTTTGAAAAAAACATAAAATCTGTTAGTCCAGTTATCAAAAGGCAAAAGAAAAGACCTGCACTGCATAGCATATTATGTTGCCAGCCTAGTACAGTGGCTCCTGCCTGTAATTCCAGCACTTTGGGAGGCCAAGGCATGCAGATCACTTCAGGTCAGGAGTTCAAGACCAGCTTGGACAATATGGTGAAACCCCATCTCTACTAAAAATACAAAAATTAGGCTGGGCATGGTGGCTCATGCCTGTAATCCTAGCACTTTGGGAAACTGAGGAGAGCAGATCACTTGAGGTCAGGAGTCTGAGACCAGCCTGGCCAACATGGTGAAATCTCATCTCTACTAAAAATACTAAAATTAGCCAGACATATTGGTGGGTGTCTGTAATCCCAGCTACTTAGGAGGCTCAGGAAGGAGAATCACTTGAACCTGGGAGGTGGAGGTTGCAGTGAGCTGGGATTGAGCCACTGCGCTCCAGCCTGGGCAACAACAGTGAATTTCCACCACAAAAATGAAAGTAAAATAAACTTTCTTATTTAAAAAAACCTCTTTATTTTTATAACTTTCTTTATATCTCTCTGGTTTCCTGGTTTCTTTTACCTTGTTTTATACATAACCTTTATTTATTTATTTATTTATTTTATCGTTTTATTTTGAGATGGAGTCTCACTCTGTCACCCAGGCTGGAGTGCAGTGGTATAATCTCAGCTCATTGCAGACTTTGCCTCCTGGGTTCCAGTGATTCTCCTGCCTCAGCCTCCCAGATAACTGGGATTACAGGCATGCACCACCACACCTGACTAATTTTTGTAGAGACAGGGTTTTACCATGTTGGACAGGCTGGTCGCAAACTCCTGACCTCAGGTGATTCGCCCACATTGGTCTCCCAAAGTGCTGGGATTACAGGTGTGAGCCACCGTGACTGGCCCACACATAACCTTTAAATGAGCTTTGAATTAGATAAAAAGTATTCAAGTTTTTAAAAATGACACACTTTTTTTTAGAAAGAATGTTTTCCTGCAAATATATTTTTATTGGAAAATACCCAAATAATGAAATATCTACTATTTAATTTAATATAACTTTACATTCTAAGTTATAATGAGTTTATCTGCATATATTTATCCTATTACATTTACCTAATTATTTTATTTTAATGATTTACGTAGATTATTTATGAAAACTTTGATAGTTATCATTTAAAGTTATGGATCTGTCATTGCAAAATTATAACTGAGACAGTGAAAAAGATTTAGCCTAACTGACTCCATCTTGCTTCTACCCTCCAAGCTCTTCTTGTTCATTTCTGGGTGTAGGATGAACTAACCTTAGGAGGAACTTAATTCATACTTTAGTTTCAAAACAAAGATGATAACAGTCCCTTCCCAAAAGAAACCTTACTGCCTGTGCGCTAGACCACCGAAAACCACAAGATTAGAAGTTATGATGGCAGGACACGGCAGCTCACACCTGTAATTGCAGCACTTTGGGAGGCTGAGGCAGGCAGATCACCTGAGGTCAGGAGTTTGAGACAAGTCTGGCCAATGGGATGAAACCTCATTTATACTAAAAATACAAAAATTAGCCAGGCATAGTGACACACACCTGTAATCCCAGCTACTGAGGTGACTGAGGAACGAGAGTTGCTTGAACCTGGGTTGTGGAGATTACAGTGAGCCGAGATCGTGCCACTGCACTCCAGCCTGGATAACAGAGCAACACTCTGTCTCAAAAAAAAAAAAAAAAAAAAAAAAAACCAGCTATGGTAATCTTACTAAATTCAAGATGTAGCCATTTTCATTAAATCAATATCAATGTCTTGTTTATTAAAGATTACAAAAGCAAAGATTGTTCTGTTTGGACTGGCTTTATAGTTTTGTAACCCCTAAGCCAAATTTTGACACCTTATGATATTTGGCAAGAATAAATATAAAATTGCCAAATTTTGACACCTTGTAATATTTAGCAGGAATATTTGTGAGGAATAAATATGAAATTGTTTAATCAATGCAAACAAAAATGTATGCTGGTAATTCTTAAGACATTTCTACTATTACTTTACCAATATAAGCTATCTTATTTACTAAAGAGTTTACTTAAGTTATGTAAACTTGAAAAACCATTTTACTGGCCATATTTGTAATCCCAACACTTTGGGAGGCCAAGGCAGGTAGATCACCTGAGGTCTGGAATTTGAGACCAGCCTGACCAACATGGAGAAACCCCATCTCTACTGAAAATACAAAATTACCCAGGCACAGTGGTATCTGCCTGTAATCCCAGCTACTCAGGAGGCCAAGGCAGGAGAATCACTTGAACCTGGGAGGCAGAGGTTGCAGTGAGCCAAGATCGCACCACTGCACTCCAGCCTGGGTGACAGAGTAAGACTCCGTCTCAAAAATTAATAATGATAAACTTAGCCAGGTATGGTGGTATATGCCTGTAATCCCAACTACTTGGGTGGCTGAGGTAGGAAGATCACTTGAGCCCAGGAGATGGAAGCTGCAGTGAGTCATAATCATCCCACTGTATTTCAAGCCTGTGTGACAGAGGTGGACTCTATATCAAAAAAAGTAAAAATAAGAAAATATTCATTGGAGAAAAAAGACTAAACAAGCAAAGGTATCAGAATAGTGCTGTGAATGTGGGTCATGTCAGTAATGTGTAGAGACTTGGGCAGGAGGATCTTTAAGAACAGGTTAGTAGAGACCAGGTCATTCATCCTAAGCGTTTGCCTGTAGCATGTAGATCAAACATCTGGTATGGACTTCCTCTTTCTGTGTTTGGTTTGACCATCACAGTGTTGAAAAACCTTTGAAGTAAATACCTTGCAGTTTGCTACAGTTCCCCTGGTCTCCCACATTACTCCAGCCTCCTTTCCTCACATAGGTTGCCTGACCCACTGAGACCTGTGTTTGCTCTCCCTGCAGATGGGTGGGTAGGAAGCAATTTAAGGGGGAATATTTAATATATGAGAAGATTTGATAGATAGATAGAGAGACAGACAGACAGATTGATTGATTGAT